GTCTTATTTGTTGGGTATCCATATGATTTGCTTCTTTGTTTCACATGGCCAATAACTTTTTTCTCTTGTAGGTCACACGGCTATGTGACTTCTTTGCTTTCTAAGTGGTTTTGGCTTATTATGCATTTTAGTTTGGGTTTATTTGCTTTGATTTGCCATTTTTCTTACAAAAGCCCAAAATTCATTAACTTGTTCTTATTTACCTTAATATAACATAAAAAAGCACTAGTAAGTTTAATGTAAATAGACATAAAAGTTGTATAAATTATGCACCTATCAAATATCATTACACTTAAACTTTCTTGGTCCTTGAGCAAAACAAACAAAACAAAAACCTAACTCACTTTTGTAAGAATCACGATTGCATTTAGCATATGCAATAAGCCTTTGAACCCCTAGAGTTACCCTTAGTGGACGAGTTTTGTCTTATGAGGATTTTGAGAATATAAACCCATAAAATCTTAAATGAATATCATGTCAATATGCTTATCCTTTAAACATTGATTCTTGATATTGTGCTTATGTCCATACATGTCTCTAAATCAATTTATATATCTTTATAACCAATCGTAATTTGAGCATGCAATACCTATTTTGCCCTTACCCTTTTCCACTATTACAAGCAAAAGTAGTAAATCGGGGTTTCTTTTTCTTAAAACCTTTTCTTATTTTAGCATTCCAATCCTCTTTTAAGGCCTTTAGCAATTCTTTCTTAAGCAATCACTTGTCTTTTTACGTGACTACTAATACTTATCATTAAAGCAATCGATTACTCAATATGTTATACACTTTGAGTGTTTTGTGCACTCATAATTCAAGTCGTCGTTTGATGTAAAAGTAAACATTTGTGATGAATACTTTTAGTTACTAAGTAACTTAAAACATTGGAATAGATTTACAATCAACAAGGCTAACTTCCCATTTAGAACGCTTTTGTTTTTTTTTTTTCCTATTCTCATAATAGCTAGAAAATCTTGTTTACTTAAACCATGCTTAGGCCTAGTTTTAAAAGTTAATTACAAAATAAAAAATCACCTTCTAAATCATGCTTAATCATAAAGATGAATGAATCTTTCTAGTATACGTATTTTCACAATCAGAATATTCCAAATAATCTCAAATTTCTCACAAGAATTTGTAAAAACTCTTCATCAATCATCAATTAAGAAAGATAACATACTAAACATGGCATTCATTTCATCATCATTTTTTATAGATAAATCACTAAGAAAAGATTAGGGATAACATATATATTGTTGTTTTATGGTGGATATTCATAATAAAAATGGATTAATATGTGAATCGATGATCAACAAGTGAATTAAAAGTGGAGACCACCAAGACTTTCATTATTATTGTTATTTCTCAATTTAATTTAGTTTACCTTTATTACTCTCAACAAATCAAAAGCCTTTTTCCTTTACTTCGCTTGAAATAGTTAGAAAATAAAAAGTATATTGATTGAACCATCTATCTGTGGGATCGACTCTAACTTGCCCTAATTGTAGTTTGTAGTTAGGTCCAATGAGGAAAATAAATAATCAAATTTACCAATGATACGACACACCATCACCTATCATAAAAACAAAAAATTAAAGAGATGATGAAAATTAAACTTTCTACATTTTGCTTTTTTTTTTTTTTTTTGGTAGGTAGAGTTGATGGGTATTTATGGTTAGGTTGTTTTGTGATAAGTGAATAATGAAGGCTATAGGTGATGGTTGATGGAGGCTAGGTTTTTTTTTTTTGATAAAAAGATGAATGATGGAGGTTAGGGTTTTTGGGATAGGAAATAAAATTATGGAGGCTCCCTTAAAAATGAAGGGAAAAGGTTTTTATATATGGAATTTTTAGGGTTTGAGGATAAAACCAATTTAGATCCTTTGGATTATATTTTTTTTTCAAATTCAATGTATGTTCCATTACTTGTTTCTCCAATTAGCTCCTTAATTGAAATTGTTTAATCCCTATTTTCTTGATTTTTTTTCAGTTTCAAGCCGATTAAGTTTTAATCGGGTTTCTTGATTTTTTTTATCCCTTTCTAATTATATTTCTATTTGAATGTTAGTTGATTTTCGCTTTCACTTCATTTTCGATTGGATCTTAGATCATCTTCTCAATTTTTTTATTTTTTTTTCTTAATTAAAATGGAAAAATAATTCTAAGAAATTAAAATCCTAAACATTTATTTAAAAAAACTTAAAAAAAAAACAAGGTAAAACAGACTATGCAACAATCTTATTTAAAAAAATTTCAATTTCTTTTTTTTTTTTTTTGGAATTTTGTATGAAAATTGGTGTTAGGGGGTGGTTTGTCTCAAAATGGGTTATGGCATCTAGCAAATCACCATAAAAAAGAATCAAGAAAAAGAATCAAGCCTTTTTTTTTCTTTTTTTTATGGTAGTAGCCCTCCGACGACAGCGAACAACCCACCACACCAGACCTTCTCCGACAATCATAAAATCAACCATCACAATCCAATCGATGCCGATCTTCTCTTTTCTTTTCTTTTTTGAGTATAACGACTCTCCATCACCATCAATCTCCACCATGACCATCCAAACCAATGCTAACAATCTCTTTCCGTCCACCATAAATATAAACCGACCACCACAATACTCTCCGACACCGCTAATATATACCATAACCACCCAAACCAACGCCAACAACCTTCTTCCATCTACCACAACAAAAAAATCGACTACCATAGTGCTTTTCCTTGTTGCCAATATCCACTATAGGCACCCAAACTAACACCAACAACCTTTTTTCGTCCACCACAATATAAAAATTGACTGCCACAATCTTGAAAGCCATTGTCCGGACAAGCTCAAAAACCACCAAACTCAAGACCAATACTGCAAGGTTGATCTTCTCCTTTCATTTTTTGGCCAAAACTAATCTTTTTTCTACCAACCACCACAAAATCCAAACCTAGCATCCTTGGTTTGTCATTTTCTCTCTTTTCCTTATCTCTCCTTCTGTTTTTTTCCCCCTAAACTCTTCGTCTATTCGCTTTTTTTTTTTTTTTTTCTCTCTCTGTTCCTTGTTTCTCTTTTTTGTTTTCAGAGTTGATTTACTTATTTCTTTTTTGATTGGCATGTGTCTGTAGTGGGCTAATATAATAGTATCTCATATGCAGTAAATAGATACATCAATATACAGTTAACCAAACCACTTAAATAAATAAATAAATTACAAATTGAGTCACTCAAGCAATAAATATTCAAATAGAAAAAAAATGACAAATTTAAATATAAAAAATATAATAAATTCTTTAAAATTTTTCTTTTTTCTTTCATTCTGCCAAGGTTGTTGATGCACAATAGAAGCAGAGTCTAATTGATATTTGTCTCCTATTGGAAATAAGAAAGTGTCCTCAAAATCCTAGCAAAATGATGATTACTCCAGCTGGGGCGAAGAACTCCACAATATAATTTAGATTTTGAACCCATTGTTCATCAGTTGTCATATCTTCGTCTGCTTTTCGTTTACTAAACCATTAGGATTACTTTATTTATTTATTTATTTTTCTTTTACTTTATCCATTGGGGTTTAGTAATGAGATGAGATTAAATGGAAGGCCATATATATATAAAATTCGCAATTGTTTGATTCATTAATGAAATTTATTTAGAAAGGAGAATTACAAGGATTAAGGTTATTGATAAGCTAGCACCAAGCCGAACTAGACAACACGAAATTAAGGGTAATAAAAAATTTTAAAACACCATTTGTGTAGCCTAAGTATTTTGCTGAAAAGAATAGTTAAGCAAATGAAGACATACTTAATATGAGGTGATGATCTGCAGGTAAAGCAAACTCTTGAACAGGCAGTATTAGAACCATTGAGTACGGTATATACAAAGGATGAGTACAAAAATATAGGATTAATTACTGGATTTTAACATTAATCTTAGTTAGTTCTGCATTAAACTCCAAGCAAAAGAAAGAAAGAAAGAAAGAGAGAGGAACAAACGCTGATAGCTAGCGTAGCAAGAAAAGTTTGTAACTTGATTATGAATTTGTCCACAAAATTGTCTAAATATGAATATTTAGATTGGTTTCAACACTGCCAACTCCTCTGGATCTGAAAATAAATCTTTCTTAGATAAGTTACCACTTAAATGATTGTCTATAGGGAATTTAGCAATTACAATCCTTAACATATTCTAATTTAATTTCTAATCTAGGTTGTTTTAGGGTAACAAGTTAATTGTCTCCACAGCAGTCTGAAACAAGCTAACAGTACTACTGTTTAGTTTTATTTTTCGTATTTTTTTCCTTCATTTGTTGCTCAGAGTTTCCAAATCAGATGCTTTTATAAAGTCTCAGAAATTTGTTCAGAATTTTAACATCGATTTCTTTAATACCAGGGCAACACCACCATTCATCTTTGCTTGGTGCTAGGACCAAACAACTAAGAAAAATCAACACCATGCACTATTAGGGGTTCATCATCAACTTCAAGCATCTCCTTCCTAGAAACTTTAAAAAAAATTCCCGTAGCCACCAAAGTGGTGTGATTTATTAAGCGAAATGCACCTACATCAGTCATCTCCGTCTTGAAAAATAAATATGCAGTTTCCTAGTGGTTTTGAACCTGCATAACCATATTTCTTATATAGAGAATTAATAGTTTTGTTACATCATAGTTGGAAAACACGCGGTTGGCCCGAGCATCTTCACTCCTTGGAAACTATTTCTAGTCGTAGTTTAGGCAACTGCCTACTGCGTTTCTTAGCTGGGGAATTCAGAAGAACGATCATTTCCATCAGCATTCAGCAACACATGATGCACGATACTTTGAAAATACTATCAACAAGTCTTCCACCGTAGTCATCCATCAAAATTTTGAACTTTTCGACTCTACAAAATAAGTTAAACTGCTACCTCCAGTGGTCTTTATATAGTATTGATGGTTATCTTAGACTATCTCAAATCTCTCAACCATCAATATATATATATTTTTCACCTTCAATTTCTGGAGGAGAGCAACCATGGGGTCTTTACTCTGGCTGAGTCAATTTCTCTGGCTCCTTCTCTTACAAGCTACCTCTTGTTCATCACTGTCCTCTTCAAATTTATCCTCTTTTACAGAACTGTGGGCTCACGACCAAGGTCTTGCTTTGCTCCATTTCAAAAATCCTTTTCCATCAATAGTTCTGCTTCTCGGGAGGATTGCCAATGTCCTAAGACGGAGTCATGGAAAGAGGATACAGATTGCTGCTCCTGGGGTGTGGTGACTAGTGACATGAGGACTGGTCATGCAATTGGCCTTGACCTAGGTTGCAGCATGCTTCATGGAACCCTCAATTCCAATAGCACCCTCTTCTTCCTTGGCCATCTCCAAAAGCTTGACCTGTCTCACAATAATTTCGACAGGTCTCCTGTTTCATCTCAATTTGGCCAGTTCTTGCATTTGACACATCTAAACCTAAATTCGTCGAATTTTGTAGGCGAAGTTCCATCAAAAATCTCCCATCTATCCCGAATGGTGTCACTTGATCTCTCTTATAACTCTGAGCTGATGGTAGAGCCAATTGCGTTTCACAAGCTTGCTCAAAACCTTACCCAGCTAAGAGAACTCCACTAAAGCAGGGTAAACATGTATTTTGTTGTGCCAAGCTCCTTGATGAATCTATCTTCTGCTTTGTCAACTCTCCAACTAAGAGGCTGTAGATTGCAAGGGAAATTCCCAGATAACATATTTGGGAGATCAAACCTGCAGTTGCTCAATTTATTGGAAAACGAATACATTGATGGCTCTTTTCCACAAATCAATGTGAGTAGTGCTCTTTCGTCTTTGGATCTGTCATTAACAAGAATTTCAGTACATTTAGATCATCATTTCATCAGGAATCTGAAGTCTATAAAAGCGTTGTATCTTAGTAGCTCCAACTTTGTTGGATCGACTCTGGCTCTGCTTGGTAACCTCACTCAACTCATTGAGTTGGACCTTTCAAGTAACTTCTTTGGTGGTCATATCCCATTGGCTTGGGGAAAACTTGAGCAGCTCAATTACTTGAATCTTAGATCCGATAATTTTATGGGTTCGATTCCCGATGATTTTCTTAACCTCAAGCAACTCAGGAGGCTGGATCTCTCATATAATAGTTTCGAAGGTCATCTCCCATCCTCACTTGGAAACCTTAAGCAGCTCAGTTACTTGGACCTGTCCACCAATAATTTTACTGGCCAAATTCTGAACGAGTTTACTAACCTTACGCAACTCACCTTCTTGGACCTCTCATATAACAACTTCTACACTTTATCCTCGCTTGGAACTCTAAAGCAACTCACTGTTTTGTCTCTTTCAAACAACAATTTTACCAGTCGGATTCCCAATGATTTTGGTAACCTTACGCAACTCACATCCTTGGACCTCTCTAATAACAACTTCCAATGTCGAATCCCATCCTTCATTAGCAAATTTAACCTCCTCCATTCCTTGGATCTTTCATCCAATAATTTTTCTGGTCAAATTTCCGTTGATTTTTCTAACCTCACACAACTCAGTAAGCTGGACCTCTCAAAGAACAATTTTGGTGGTCAGATTCCATCCTCACTTGGGAAACTTGAGAAGCTGCATTTCTTGGATCTTTCTTTCAATAATTTTACCGGTGAAACTCCGGATGGTTTGTTTAGCCTCACCCAACTTTCTTATTTGTACCTATCAAACAATAGACTGATAGGTCCCATCCCATCACAAATAAGTAGGCACTCAGGTGTAATGTGGCTCTACTTGTCTCATAACTTGCTCCATGGAACGATTCCATCCTCTTTGTTTGCTATGCCTTCTTTGCAGGTTCTCTTACTTGACAATAATCTTTTCAGTGGCCATATAAGTCAATTCCGTTCCAATTCATTGCAATATATCGATTTTAGTCATAACAAGCTTCATGGCCTAATTCCACCTTCAATTTTCAAGCTTGAAAATTTGGTAGCTCTTATTCTTTCCTCCAATGATAAACTGACAGGGGAGATCTCTCCTGTCATTTGCAAGCTGCAATTCCTCGAAATTGTTGACTTGTCTTACAACGGCTTTAGTGGCTTCATCCCACAATGCTTGGGAAACTTCAACAATAGCCTCGCATTGTTGCATCTTGATGCAAACAATCTCCAAGGCACTATCCCTTCAACATTTTCAAAAGGGTGTAGCTTGAGGTATCTCAATTTCAATGGCAATCAATTGAAAGGGGTTATACCACCATCTGTAATCAATTGTATGAATTTAGAATTTCTGGACCTTGGCAACAACATAACAGATGACACCTTTCCCTTCTTTCAAGAAACACTTCCGGAGCTGCAAGTTCTTGTTCTTCGATCCAATAAACTTCATGGTTTTCTGGAGGGGCCTATTGCCAATTCTCCCTTTCCTAAGCTGCGGATTTTTCACCTCTCCAATAACAGTTTGGGTGGGCCCTTACCAACAGGGTATTTCATGAATTTCAAAGCAATGATGAACGTTGGTCTTGACATGAAATACATGGAGGATGAAAGTTACGACTATTCTGTGAGTATGACATGGAAAGGATTGAAGATTGATTTATTGAAAATTCTTACTATGCTCACAAGTATTGATTTGTCAGGAAACAATTTCACTGGAAAGATTCCGTTGTTCGTTGGGAAGCTTAAATCGCTTGAGCAGCTCAACCTTTCACACAATGGCCTTACGGGTCATATACAGCCATCATTGGGGAATTTGACGAATCTGGAATCGTTGGATCTATCTTCAAATTTGCTTGCTGGAAGAATTCCTCTACATTTGGCAGATTTAACATTTCTTCAGGTCTTAAATCTTTCACATAACCAACTTGAAGGGCACATACCTCAAGGAAAACAGTTCAACGCATTCGAACGTGGCTCATACGAAGGAAACTTGGGATTATGTGGATTTCCATTGCCAAAAGCATGGAACAATGGTGAAGGAAAAAAATTACCACCATCAAACTTCCAAGAAGAAGATGATTCAACGTACGTTTGGAGAGGGATTTGGATGGAAAGCTGTGGCAATGGGTTATGGAAGTGGATTTCTATTTGGAGTCTCAATAGGATACATTGTGTTTAGGACAAGGAGACGAAAATGGTTTGTGAGGATGGTTGGAGGAGAACGAAGTCAAAAGGCAAGAAGGATTCAGAAGAATGGTCGTAGAAATGTTGCAAGGGGAAACTAGTCGATCAAGTCCACGTTAATTTGAAGGCAAGTGATGGAACTGTACTTAATGTTAAAATATTTCTTTCCCATTATTCATCATAACTGTAATAACAATAAACTTATTTTCTTGTCAATTTTTTCAAGATTCAAGAGAAGACCTGTGGATTTGGACTACAAAGGTAGCTGTAAAGGTGAGGGGACTCATCTCCCAGGCTAGCTAGCTGCTTATATTTCCTTGTTTGTGTAATTATTATTTTTCACAAGCGAAGTTTTCATTAGCTTTTTTGTAAGGCAATCCAATGGATATGTGTTTATATATAGCAGTAGTCAATAAAAATTGATGTGTGTTTATCACTGCAATTTGTTACCAATAGTTTTTATATTATCTCCATTTTTATTTTTGTTTTTATTTTTTTGTTCTTTTAGCTATATTTTTTCTCTTGATAAATTCTAAATAAAAGCCACGAATTTTTTATTTTCTATTTTACATTTTTGAATACCATATAAGGCTGGAAATTTAAAAACACAAGTCATTGTTGCAATTAAAAGGGGAAAAAAAAGGGGAAAAGAAAAAGGTAAATGGAGACCAATCGACAACTTTCTACACGAGTTGCGAAAGAGAAGTAGGAATGGCAAAATGATCCGACCCGAGGTCGTCTTGCCTCGCAATTTTTTTGGACGGGGATGGGGCGGGGATGGGATTTGCCCACCTTATCCCATTTTGCCCTATCAACGAGTAACTTATAGTAAGTCACTTGACGAGTTTACACTTACTTAGTGAAATGAAAAATGCAAATTGTATGCACTCATTATAAAATCTGTCAAAACAGGACAAAATGGAACGGGACAAGGCGGACACAAACGAGTAAAATGGGGCCCCATTTGCCCCGCGGGGATCCCCATCCTCATTTGGGGCGGGGATGGGATGGCATGGCAAATTTTGTCCCGTTCGGGGCACGGGGCGAGGATGGAGAATTTTTAAGGGGGCGGGGCGGGGATGGGGATGGCGATCCCCGCCCCGCCCCATTGCCATCCCTAAGGAGAAGGTTATGCAATCTACATCCACATTTTTTTAAAAAAGCAATGTCAAATGTAAATTCCAAATCAAGTTGTTGCCTTTTGGCCTAGGACAAATCCAAACACCAATTGCGAAGAAAAGAACAAGAGAAAAACATTTCTTATAACACCTTTGACCTACGATCTAAATAAGTTGAGGATATTATCATCGTACCTCACAATAAATGCAAGACATAAGGCATTATGTCCTTCTTATTGTATTATTAATTATGATTTTTGCTGCGAAAACTCATTAAAAAGTTAATAAGTCGAACTTTACTTACAAATTTCAACCCAAAATACACTATTGAATTATTCTATTTTAACATTTTATTTTAATAATATAGACTCAAATAACTTAGTTCGTGTCTTTTATTTTCATCAAATTCTTTTTCTAGAAGACAAAATAAATTTATCTAGTTGATACCATTTAATCGTTTCCCTAAATTATCCCTTTTATTAATTATTATCTTTTATAAAGATAAATCATTCTTTTCCGATTCTTTCTTTATTATTTCTATATCCACTTGATTTTCCATATTGTTATTTGACTCGGTAGTATGCAAGTATTGAACTAAAAGAAACTATAACTACACGTTGCTATTTTATTACATGATTGGTATATCCAAAATTGGTTTACATATTTCCATCCTACTTTTTTTTTTTTTTTTACATAATAACTAGCTTAATATCACACGATTTACCAAAAATAGTTTTACCTTTTTACAAGCCTACCCTTCCTTTATATATTAAACATCTAAACCTATTTACTTGGTCATTACTTTTATTATCATATAAAACATAGTAGCCATACTAAGTACATATACCAAAATATCAAGAATTAACAACATGACCATGTGTAATAGGTCTAACTTGTAATCACAAGAAAGATACACCTTGCGGATCGACGAGAGAGTACCTTTAATAACCAGCTCTAGCGTGAACATGGTCATTCTTCTTTGTTCTTCACTCATACATCACAAGAAATAGGTAAGATATTGCTCAATAAGTTAGTCATACATGTTATGCTCTTATGTAAGTGAATACACTTTAAAATCCTTTTCTTTTTTTTCTTTTTTTTTTTCGAAAGCGCCCTACCAAATGTATATGGTACACATATGTGTACATGTTCAAACCTCTTTTTCCTTTATCCTTTTTTTATATTGAGGACTTTACCAATTCTTCCTAACGAAGAAATATCGGGGATAATTAAATCCTCGATAACCTTTTTATTTTCCTTTGTAAAAATCATGAGGAAAAGCTTTTAATTGTTTTGACATGCATATGCATTTAAATGCATATTCTCATGAATTAATATAATGCATGTCATAAGTAAAAGCGCATTTATGTAATAAAATTGCATGCCTCAACATTATAAAAATACACATAATATTCCATTGTCTTTCACATTTCAATCCATCACGTTCAATTCGGGATATACGGTCCAATCAAATAGAACATTTACCACGAGTGTACTACACCATATCTCATTTCACATATTCGTGCAATAATAATATAAATATATTCACACTTTGGCAACATCATTCAACCAATAAGTTCTTGCACTAAATTATTCACTCATTTCACATCTTCCATAAACATAGGCAACCATGCAATAAACACATAATTCCACACATTAAACGGATGCATTACAATTAATCAATTATGAAATCACTAATCTAAATAGTGGTATGGTTAATTAAATTTTCTCCTAAATTTTCATATATGGCCAAAATTTTCCTTGGCCTAAACTAGGTGAATTTTTCATTTTAATTACTAATTCACATATTAACCCATTTAATTATTCTACCTTCATCATTTAAAGCATCTAAAAACAATAATACATGGATTAAACTTCTAACCCCAATTTTTCCTATTTTGATTGAATATAAACCGATTTTAAGCTTGGTGATTTTTTTAATTTTAATGTTAATTCACATGCTAAATTATCTAAACATACTTTAATATCATGAATTTTATCAATTAAACATTAATAAATCAAATACATCATAAACCCTAAAAGTCTCTAATTTGGCCGAAACTTTCCTCTTGAATTGGGCTAGGTAGTTTTTTATTTTTACTACTTGTTTGCATGCTTAATTAGTCTATTTCATCATCAATTTCAACACTAAATTATTTTTCTCAATTCACATGTCCAAGAACCCTAACCCCTAATTAATTCAATTTATTCAATTAACCTTGAATTAATTGTGCAAACTTAACAATTCATGCAAAATTAACTACATAACATTAAATCCAATCTAAAAATCACATGTTCATGTACAAAAGTTTCCATCAACATCATCACATATAATACATATAATCTTTCTATTTAAAACCGTTCAATTCAACACAAAAAACTAAGTTCTTGTGATGTAGTGAGACTAACTTACTTTTAATGCTCTAATTCAATTCTTTTCAAGTTGAATTTTTGCAAGCTTTTCTTCCTTCCTTTCTCCTCCAAATTTCGGCCTCCTTTCTAAATTTCTTCCTTACTATTTCTGATCTTTCAATTATGATTCCAAACTTGATGGATGATTTAGGACGTGTTTAATGTTTGGTTTAGTTGGTCTTGTGATTTTAGTAATTTTGTGGCAATATTTTGGCTTGATTTTTCCTATTTTTTCACCATTTTTTCCCTCATCCAACAAGCTAAATTTATAGGCAAAATGTTGGACTTTTTATTGGTTTGACTCTCATCTTGGCCCTTCATTTGTTTCCATCCCTACCATTAAATTTTCTTTTAATCCTAACCATCTATTTGTACCTAAAGATGAGACTTCTTGTTAAATTGCATAATTAGATTCATTAAATAAGAGATGAAGTGGCCGGCTGGGAAGAAAATTTTGACCAAAATATTTATTTTGGTCCCTCAATTTGTTACACTATTTTATTTTAGTCCTTACATTTATACCTTCAAATGAATATTTTTTATCCTTCTCTTAGGATTTTTAAATATTTTTATACCCCCTAAAATTTACTTCCAAATTTATTTGAGAGCCAAAACTTTTAATTTCATGCAATGGAGTCCCTAATTCTCATGCAATTAGATCCCTATGTGAATAATCAATTCTACACACATTAAAAAAATAATCGCTTCTTACAATAAATTCCTGAAATTTATATAGTAATTTATTCATTAATCACATAATTTTTATACTCTTATTTAGGCACTCAAAAAAATTATTTTGCATAAAAGGCATTATTCACGTATAGAGAGGCCAATGAAATATTCACCAACCATAGAAAAATTAGCCTAAGTGTAGGAATATTCTAACACCCCTCTAGTAATTATTCCATACACATTTAAAATATATTATTTAATTTATTCACGGAGTTCGGGGTATTACATTTGTGGCTAGAACTCTTTCGAGTTAGGGTTTGATATCTCTCTCTTCAATTCAAAATTTATATATGCAAACTTTCTTTCCAATGTAATATGTGACTTTGATTTCATAATAGAAATTCAGATTTTAATGACTTTCCATGGCTTAGAGTTGTTAATTTTTTTACTAGTATATATCTTGCTCATATTCAAATTGGATGAAATTTGGATGATTTTCCAAAAGCAAATTAAGTGAAAATTACATATGAGGGTGTTGCGGGTTTATTTGTGTCGGCCTCAACTAAAAGAACTTTATAACAAAAGAAATAAAAAATGATTGAGATGCATTTTGCGAGAATAGTCAATTTTTCAATCGTAAACTAACTTGCAAATGTGAAGTATAACTACTTTGTATAATGTTTTTGAGGTTTAACGTTATAAAGAAAATAAAATTAAAGGAATTAAATAGGCTACAATAGACTTTAAAACCCCTCATGAAGAAACTATGACCTTTCAAACAGAGCACTACAAGGAATTTACTAATTAGCGATGAATTTTAGCGACGGCGTTCATTTCATCTCTAATTAGCGACTAATTAATGACTAGTCGACAATCG